ACCATCCCTACTATATATACTGTAAAAGAAATGATATCAGCAGCATCAAATAATATAAATAATAAATTAAAACAAAAATTGTCAGATAGTTGTGAATTCTGTTGTTTGACAACAGATTTTTGGACATCTTGTGATAATAAAGGATACATTGGAATTACCTGCACATGGTTAGAGAATTTTGAACTAGTAGAAGTTTTGTTAAATTTGTCATATGTTCCATACCCACACACTGGCTTAAAAATAAAAGAATTATTAATGAACGAAATTATAAAATGGGATTTAGAAAATAAAGTTATTGGGATCACCACCGATAATGGTAGTAATATGGTAAACTCTATATATAAAATTATTAAGTGAATCATTTGATATTGAAAGAATTGCATGTGCTGTACACACAATACAACTTTCAGTTAAAAAAATTCTAGAAATAAAAGATGAAATAAAAATTTTAGTAGTAAGGGCAAGAAGATTAATATTATTTTTTAAATCACCAAAACAATGTGAAAGACTTGAAAATGCTCAAAAAAAATTAAATTATACTCAAATTCTTAAGCCAATTCTTGATGTTAAAACAAGGTGGAATTCTACTTATATGGCATGGAACCGTTTAATTTATTTAAAAAATGCTATTTTAGATTTAATTAAAGATATGGAAATAGATAATGATAGGGATGTTAGATATGACTTTAAAAGATTAAAAAAAATATTATTAAGTAATGATGAATGGTCCTTAATTGAAGAATTATTAATTATGTTAAAAGATTTTTATGACATCACTAATACATTAAGTGGAGATAGTTATGTTACCTTGTCTTTAGTATATCCTATAATGTCACATTTAATTAATAAAATAAAATTACAATTGCATAATGATAATGAGGTTGAGATTTTTGATGAATTTGTCCCCCCCTCCAAATGTTGAAGAAAATATTTTAGATTGCTCTAATAGTGAAATTGAAGATAATAATACCAAAGAAGCTTCTGAAGAAATGGATGAAATATTTATGCAAGCAGATGAGAATGAAGGCGAAATTGAAATTTTTGAGGAAAAAAGAAATGGAGAAAGACTTAAAAAAAACTTAAGATATCAAAACCAATTAACATTTCAGGATTAAAAAAGAAAATACTTAAGGCATTATAAAGTTCTTTATTAAATTATTGGTTAGTTACTCCACAAATAGGACTTTTGGCCTCTGCTTTGGATCCAAGGTTTAAAATCATTAAGATTTGCACCAAATCATTATGATGTGACATATAAAATATTATCGGAAGAAATTAAATCAATTGAAGAAAAAAGATTTGAGAAGATCAGCTGTAGTAATACAAACAAATCCATCACAAAATACCATTTTTGACAAATTATTAGATACAACACAACAAATTAGTTATGATGAATTGGAAAGATATTTAAGTATAACAAATGTTGCTGGCAACATTGATCCACTTGCTTGGTGGAAGGAAAGAAAGAAAAACTTACCAACTCTTGCAATATTAGCAAATAAATATTTATGTTTAAATGCAACATCTGTTCCATCAGAAAGGTTATTTTCTGATGTTGGTAATCACATCACAAGTAAAAGGAATAGATTGTCCCCCAGGACTGTTTCTGAATTACTATTTTTAAAAAGAAACATGAAAACATTTTCTATTTTTGATTAAATAATTATATCAATATTTCATATTAACATTAAATTATTATTTTATTTATTGTTTTAGGAAAATATTC